GAATGACGTCTGTTATTGATTGCCATAGTGATGACCCCCACCTGTGCCCACCTCACGCTGGATGTAGTAATCTCTGTAGTACTGACGTAATGAGTCGGCGCTACCATGGCGCTACACAGCGGCGACCGGAAGCAACGTACTGGCCACAAAACGAGAGAGGGTCGCAGCCAACCGGGATCTCGAGTCGGTTTTCGGCAAAAATACCACATTTTTACCACTCATTATCTCAGCGTAGGAGCATCGTAGGGACAAGCGGTTTGTTTTATATTAGTAAGGTAGGACTGCTGATCAATACTACCGCCAAGAATCGTCAAAACAAAATGGGCAAAGTTTCTTAATTCGACTAATACTGCAACATGGTTTCAGCAGTCACCGCTGTCTCCTTAATACGCTCTTGCTAAAATTTATATTAATTAGTAGCATAGTTTTATTAAAAAACAAAAGAAACAGACGATTCGCAATTCCATAGCAGTTGTTTACTAAGTTGTTAACTTGAGTATCGTGAGTATTGCATGTATTCAATTAACGTGGGTACGTGCATCTGCTACTGGAAATGATCCAGGTTTACTCAAGTGCATCATGTAAACGGCTACAGCAACACGCACGCGCACGCACGCACGGACACATTTTTTATCATGACCATGACAGGCATATCATCCTATCTAATTATTCTTGATTTATCATATTTAGTGATGTACTGATAATTAGTGATGATTTGTATATATTTACATTCTTCCAGGATCTCAATTGGGAGTATGAACCTGGTGATGCCTTTCAGATGTCCTGCCCTAATCCTGAGAAGGAAGTTAATGCTCTCATACAAAGGTAATATCAATTATATCACCCTCTGCTGTACTTGTTCCTAGAAGTTTTGATCTGTCTGTTTATTTCCCCTCTTTTTTTCATTCTGTCTCTCTCTCTCTCTCTCTCTATTTCTCTGTTTTTCTCCTTTTCTCTCCGTCTCTCCTTCCCTCCCTCTCTCTCCCTCCTTCTCTCCCTCTCTTGGTCCCCCCTCTCTCAATTTATGCTGTGTATCAGCATATTGTTCACATTTAATTATGTTAAACATGCGCTGTAACAAATTGAAGTTTCATTCACAGTTTATTATTCACCTACATGAAGGTGATGTTGAGTTAAAAGTGAATTAGACAATAATATGAATCATAGGTTTGTTTTAAAGATTTCAAGGCGCCTAAAAGAAACAGTATTGTGCACTGAAATGGAGATTTCTCTAGTCAAAACTTTCTAAATGAATAAATAAACGAATAAAATAAATATATTGAGTAAATACAAATGAATACATCGGTCACGTTGGTTTTCCGCGTAACAGGCTGGGACTTGAAAGCATAGCCGACGCGTCGTTCACGCTGGCGGTCAGGGCGGGCGTGCGTAAACCCCGAGCAGCCGTTCCCGCCCACCTCACACGTCGCACACTCGCCGGTGTGCTCCTGCACGACCTAGACGTACGCGCGCTGCCGTCAAAGGTCAGTGATGGTTTCTCTGAGATTTCGGGTGAAAGGTGCGTAGGTCGCTTAGTTTGTGCAAAAGCAATATGATGTCTGTTGTGGGGAAGGGTTACCGGCAGGGTTTTATCGAGTTCCGGCGACTTTGTGATGTGTAGATCTGGTTGACTAGCCCGATTTTGTCAAGTTTCCGCGACTTTTTGGTGTGTAGATCGGTTTTTTATCAAGTTGCCACACCCCTGTAATGTGTAGATCGGTTT